TTTGGTAGAATATCCCAAATGACTTGTGTATCTAGTGAGTTTCCATAACACCCTAGTGAAGAATTCACCGTGGAATTAAAGCAGTGGTTCTTAGCCAGGGAGACACATACCCCTGGGGGTACACAGAAGTCTTCCAGGGGGTACATGAACTCATCTAGATATTTGCCTAGTTTTACAACAGGCTATATAAAAAGCACTAGCGAAGTTGGCACAAACTAAAATTTCATACAGACAACGACTTGTTTTATATTGTTCTATTTACTATACGCTGAAATTAAGTAGAATATTTATATTCCAATTGATTTATTTTACAACTATATGGTAAAAATGAGAAAGTCTGCCATTTTTCAGTAATACTGTGCTGGGACACTTTTGTATCTGATTTTGTAAGCAAGTTGTTTTTAAGTGAGGTGAAACTTGGGGGTAGCAAGACACATCAGACTCCTAAAAGGGGTACAGTAGTCTGTAAAGGTTGAGAGCCACTGGATCAAAGTGTGAACATTCTGGTATGTTTGAAACAAATTGTGACTTTGAGTGATTGAGAGCTATTGTTGAAAATAGTTATACTGCTTCATGCTCTCTTAATGCCAAAGAGTTGGTCCTCAGTTTTTAGTATCCTCCCTATTAATAATACAGATCACAAAAAGAGGAATAGTTTAGCTCCAATGGTTAATCCTTGTTGTTCCATTGTGTGTGTGTGTGGGGGGGGGGGAGCCACAATGGGAGGAAGACAACTCTCAAGGTAATTTATTGAGCAACTTCATTTCAGACCTTCGCTAGAATTGCTTGTCTGAGAAGGCTGATATCCTGAATGGTTCAAGAGCCCATCAGGTTCCAGAAGTTTTACCTATTTCATAGATACAAATGCAAAGTCCAGCAGTCAGCTAGATGATGTGGATTTGAGACACTCCCTGGAGGATTTGGTGACCAGAAACCAATAAACAGATTAAACTAATCTGAAAATACATAGCTTTGTATTTTTAAAATAATATTTATAATGTCCTTTGTGGCTAATTACCATGTGTGAGTCAACATAACAGAATAGAAATTGCTTGTATAAAATATATGTGTATATATGAGGGGAAGTTGCTATATGTGGCATGTTTCTTTGTGAAAGGCTTGACAGGTGCTGTCCCTTTGCCTAAAACTACTAGCTTGTGGAATGTCACACCGCAAAAACTAACACACAACTGTCCTTTTGTTTCTCGCAGAGGCAAAATTTGTAACTCTACAGCAGTTTTTTGCTGTTTGTGCAGTATTGATTATGTGCTTTGTACTGATGGACAGTAGATATATGTTATAAACTTAATTGTGATCATTAGCGTCTGATAATTTAGAATATATAATGTATAACGTTATGTGTATGTTGCATAAGATATTTGGACAACACTTTTCGACAATTGTTTGGTTATTTCCATATTATACTGGCCCCATCCTGTAGTCCTTACAAAGGCAAAATTAGCCATAATATCCAAGGACCATTCCTGAGAAAGAACTGCAGGATCATCCATTATGTCTACAAAAAAATTACTAAGGATCCAATCCTGCAAAGATAAATACATGTATAACTTTGCACACATGCATAGTCCTATTAATTTCAATAGGACTGAACTACTCACACATGTAAAGTTACACATTTGCTTATGCCTTTGCAGGATTGGGGCATAAAAAGTCCATTCTGAATTGGTCATTCACAATGAGACATCTGGTACATACGAAAATGCTTAATTGTAATCCCATTTATGGGAAAGAGAGCTTTATGTACATGTGACACAACTAGGCCAACAGTGAAACTTTGCCTCTTGCTATTGTCTCTTTAAATTAAGCACTAGAACCAAATTCTGCTTTCAGATATGCATCTGTCAATGGGAATTGTGCAAGGGCAGAAGTTGCCTTATATGTAGCAGATTTTCTTCAATTTAAGTTATTAAAAACATTTTCACATCTTTTTCATGCACCTTAAAGTGACAGAAAGCAAGATTTACATTTCTAATGTTGGCCTCTTGTGCCAAAGCTAAATGCTGGTCTTGTCATTACACTATTTGTAAGTCATTTTTGAACTGGGATTTTGATTTTCTGTTTCTAACTATCAGATCCCAGGAAAAAAGGCACCATGGACTGTGAAAATAATTATTTTTCAAAAAAGAGAACTAGGGATGTTTGTTCTCTGACAAGAACAAATTGTGAGAAAATTTGATGCAGGGAACCCTAAACATGGGTGTTGATGGTACTATTTAAAAAAAAAAAAAGACATAGAAACTGTGATGTTCCAATATGGCTAATCAGACTAAATAAAATGAAAAATTAGCTGATATTTTTAAATGAAAATTTCCATGGATCTAGGTATATAAATTTCTGTTCATTGAAAAGAAATAGCTTCCTTGACTGCACTGCTGCAGAATCTCCATAGGCATAAATGGCATCAGTTTCTGATTCAATATCATAAGAAAATATTTGCTTGATGGTGCTCTACATGAAAAAAAAAAAAAAGCTACTGACTTCTATGGGAGTAGACTGGCCCCAGTCTTGGCCTCTTACCCCAATTCTTAGGAGCCAGCTACCACTAATGAAATGCCCTATTGCAAAAGACAAGCCTGGGAGCTTAAATTCATAACTTTTGTTAGACACTAAATATCATGGACTCAATAAAGACACTGGACTTAAGGCTCATTACAATGATCTATAACCCACTAACCCTCTTCTGTCCTCTGACTGCAGAGGTGTTATCTGCCCACTTCACCTTGAATAGTTTCTTACATGTTAACTCCTTATGCTAAACAATCTGTTCCCCCTTGGATTTAGCTGTGATGCTCTCAGTACCTTTCCCAGACCTGAAGTAGAGCTCTGTGTAAGTCTGAAATCTTGTCTCTCTCACCAACAGAAGTTGGCCCAACAAAAGATTACCTCACCCACCTTGTTTCTGAATGCAACAGGACCATTTAGAATGTTAGATACTCTACTGAGCATGCTCAGCAGCTTTCATGGATTTGGGCTCTCTACTTTAACTGGATCCCTCTCTCTGTAAACCGAGGACAGTTCTAAACACTATAATCTTACCTTATTATAGGGATTGTTAAAGGCTTTCATTAAATATGCCTGCCAAATACTTGGGACCTAATGTTTATGCAAGTTTTAAATCTATCTACATTAAAAGCTTAAAAGGTTTTGGGTTGTAGAAAAAATGGCTATTTTTATTTGAAGAACAGGAGTCCTTGTGGCATCTTAGAGACTAACAAATTTATTTGAGCATAAGCTTTCGTTAGTCTCTAAGGTGCCACAAGGACTCCTGTTCTTTTTGCGGAGACAGACTAACACGGCTGCTGCTCTGAAACCTATTTTTATTTGGTTTTTGTTGTTGTTTTTATATGGGAAAGTCATGTGAATAATAAACTTGCAGAAGAAAAGGGTTTGTTAAAGGAACCCATCTTTTCACAATGCCAAGACCCAGTTCCACCACCCGTACCCATTAACTCACGAGTGTAACCATTGCCTTCAGTAGCACTATTCACAGTAGGAACATTTACTTACATCAGAGAGGGCTGGCAAGATGGGGTTCCAATACCTTTTTTCTTATGAGGGCTTCCTATCATAGGACACCATTAGTATTGGACAGCTGGAGGGCCCCATTGACATGCATTAGGATTTCCTAATTAAAGAATGAATAAATGCTATCTGAGAAGGCAAGGGAAGAATTGGAAGAATTTTACTGGCAGGAAGAGGGATATATTGGCCACCTAAACCATGGAATAAATATGTCTTAATAAATGCCAATGAAGATTTTCTTACAGTAAATATTTCATTTATTTCTTTTGGGACATTGTCAATTTGTGAAATAGCAAGAGTCCTTTAGCTTTGTAGACAGATGAGACAGAGAAAAGGATATATACATTGATCTATATTACTGCCTTTGCATGCCACTGTGGAAAAGCCCTACTGGATTAAGTTACAATCATAACCTTTCTGTAGTTTTAAAGACTCCTAATATTAGTTTAATTTATAATTTAAATAAAGTGTATTGCTTTTTGTTCTGTTCTATATGTTTTTAAGAGTAAAATTTAGAAAACCCAATTGGTTTCAACTCTATTAAATTCTGTAGAATTCTTCCTGAGGCGTTACCTGCCATGATGTTAAGTAACATGTGTACGCATACCGAAGGCTTGTACCATTCATGTGGTTTTTAGTAGGTTGGGCAAGTGTTCAGTAAAAATGAATGAGGGAATCTACTATTATGCTGCTGTTAAACAGGCTTAAACATGACCGTAAAGGTGCTGAGTCATTCAGATTTCTAATAGGTCAGCAGGAGTAAAGGCGAAAAGGAAAAGGGGGGGTGGGTGCCGGATCTTAATGTGGCTTACTACGGGAGAGCCGGAGAAGAGACAAGAAAATATGCCTCTCCATATGGGAGCATGCTCAGTGCTGCTGCGGCCGTGCTATACAGGGTAGGCAGTGAACTGGATTAATCAGGATTGACAGAAGAGAAAAGCATGATTAAAACGGACAGAGTTCCAAATCTCCACTAATAAACACACTTAGCTTGTTGTCGGGTGCTTTAAAAAAAAAAAACAAATTTAGGAACAAAGTCACAAGGTTGTCTCTCAATTAACTGTTGCGTTGTGATGGATTTTTTTTTAAATAAAAAGTCTCCGAGGATCCTGCACAGCAGACATAGAGGACATGCCTTTAATTCCCACTCCGTGAACAGTTTGCTCCTACCGGAGATCCTTAGAGCAAGTGCCCCATCAACACTTCGCGGGGAATTAAGTTCTCCATCCAGCCTCAAGAAATCCGCTGGACTGGGGGGGGGCAGAGAACCACGGACGAGAAGCTGCCAAACCCAGCCCCAGGGGACTGCATTTCCGTTCCCGAGGACAACCAGTCGGTTTGACTCGCCAGCAAGGGCCGCTCGGGCTCTACACCTGAACGGGGCAGCTGCCATGGCCTGGGGATGGGACGCCTTTGCGTGGCGGGGCTGTGCAACACAGGGCTAGCCAAGCGCTTACCTCTGGGCAGCGGGGAGAGTGTCACGTTAGCGCCTCCGCTCTCCGGGAAGGTTGGTTCCGCGTGTCCAGTGCCTTGGCGGGGGGGGCTGCCTCGACCCGGTCCCAGCTGCAGCAGCGGATCTGGTCAGGTTCAGCGGCGGGACAAGGCGCTTCCTGCGGCCCTGCGCCAGTCAGTCGCAACCGCACCTCCACCTCGCCTCGCTTTAGTGAGCCAGACAACGGCGCGGGCCGGCCGAGTGCCAGGCCGTGGCAGGAGGCATCCCTGCGCCCTCCCTGCGGTGTCCTGCTCCGGCCGCGGCTGGGGGGCGGCGGCGGCCGAATTTGCAAGCGCCCGGGGGATAGACACGGCAGCCCGCTCTCCGCCGCGCTCCCCGCGCTCTGGAGCTAGCCGCCGGCAGGGCCGGGAGCGGATCGGTGGGTGAGGTGCCGCTGCCGCTCCGGCCCCGTGTGCACGCACCGCGGATCTGCACGTCTCCGCCCGGCTGGGGCTGCCTGCGCGCGCGGCTCTGCCCGAGTGCGGGAGTGTGTGTGTGTGGTGTGTGGTGTGTGTGTGTGTGTGCGCGCGCGGGGCGGGAGCGCCGGGGTGCGGGGCGCGCCGTGCAAATGGCTACACGGCCACCCGCCGGCATGATCGCCCCGTTCGCGGGAGGGTCAGAGGTTTGGATTCAAAAGGGGCTGGGGAGTCCTTTGTGTGAGCCCACCTACACGCCCCGTGCACACACAAAGAGCGGCGCTCGGGGCCCCGCGCTGCAGCCCTCCGCTTCGGCCTCTTTATCTTCTTGATGCGCCTTTGTTCGGCTGCCCGGCTGGACAGGTCTGCTTTCCTAGGGAGCGATTAGGCGTTTGCTTACATTTCCAGTGTCCCCTCCCGCTAAATCATGGCTCATTCATCTTCAGTGGCCTATAACCCCGGCATTGTGGCTAATCTACACTTAACATCTAATGGTTACAAGTGACCCCCGCCCTGCACCTATTTGTTCTCATTAGTGGTCAGAAAACAAACGAACCTGTTGCTGCAGAGTGGAGGGATTCAAGTGTCAACCGCTCTTTCGGTATGTAACCTTAATGGGGGCTGAGCATCAGATCAGGCCGGCAAAGTGCAGCTGCAAAGCAGTGGCTTCTCAGCATTAGCTGGACACCCTCGTGGTCCAGTGGTAGGGTTCCCATGCATTTCTCAAACGACTGCATTATCCTCAGTTTCCTCATGGTGCCAGGATGCTGATCCTGGAAGTGTTGAGGGACCTTCCTTCATGGCCAAGTTGTGCTTCCAGCTGCATTCATCCAAAAGACAGCTTCAGTCAACCTAACTGTTAGCATCTACACTAACGCAGCATCTAGGCAGCTCCCACCGATGTCACTTGCCCACTACACCGGCTTAACTCCAGAGAGGAGTAGTGCTTAGGTCGATGTAGTTAGTTAGCTCAACACAGTGTGATGGTAGACTATGTTGCTAAGCCCTGGTCTACACTAGGACTTTAGGTCAAATTTAGCAGCATTAAATCGATGTAAACTTGCACCCGTCCACACGATGAAGCCCTTTTTTTCAACTTAAAGGGCTCTTAAAATCGATTTCCTTACTCCACCCCGGACAAGTGGATTAGCGCTTAAATCGGCCTTGCCGGGTCGAATTTGGGGTACTGTGGACACAATTTGGTGGTATTGGCCTCCGGGAGCTATCCCAGAGTGCTCCATTGTGACCGTTCTGGACAGTACTCTCAACTCAGATGCACTGGCCAGGTAGACAGGAAAAGAACTGCGAACTTTTGAATCTCATTTCCGGAGACTGCAGGAACTGTGGGATAGCTACCCACAGTACAACACTCCGGAAGTCGACGCCTGCCTCAGTACTATGGAAGCACTCCGCCGAGTTAATGCACTTAGAGCATTTTCTGTGGGGACACACACACTCGAATATATAAAAACGATTTCTAAAAAACCGCCTTCTATAAATTCAACCTAATTTCGTAGTGTAGACATACCCTTACATTGAGTGTTGCTACCTTTCAGAAGTTGTCCCACAATGCCCCACCCTGACAGTGCTCCTAGTGGGGTTGCACACCGTCAACACAAGGAGCATAGCGTGGACTTGCAAAAGCAATTTCATTACCGTGGTGGCTGTACATTGACATAATTTAGGCTGACTTAATTTTGTAGTGTAGACTTGCTCTTACAGGAGTTGTATGGATCCTCCAGTATTCATACAAATACACTGTTATGGATCCTCAAATTTCCCCGACTATATTACCCTGAAGTGTAAAAAATAAAATTTTATACAGGCAACCTGTCCTGCGAACTTCCCTTAAAACTTTAGATTAGATATTCAGTACACAAATACTTGCAAAACTTCTTCTGAAAGACATGTAAGTGATCTCCCATTTATCTGAAAGTGACCTAGTCAAAGAGAAGGTAAGTTGGGGTGATGAGAGAATTAACAAAGGGCCTAATACATTTACATAGCTTCTAGCACAAGTGGATGATGCAGTCTATGAAAGATGATGTTTGAGATTACATGACACAACAGATAATTTTGTGAATAAAATACAGGATTTAGCCCTCTGTGAATATATCAATGGGGAGAGAAAATGGCTTCCTGAAACCAAAATGCAAAATGGATTCTCCACATGCCCCTGTTTAGTCACCTCCATTTTTCATTTATTTTAATGTCAACATTTATATAACATATCCTGACCTGTATGTTATATAAAAATAGGAGGAAACACCCTTTGGGTGCATTGGTGGTGTCTACGAGCCCAAGGTGTCTACAGCACTGGAGAAATGTCTTAAATTTGTGCCAGATGGTGTCCCTAGATCTACCCACTCTCAGGCTGGTAGGGAGGACAGCCACTTCTGTGGTACCATTCCCCCCTTTCTACAAAAAACAAATACGAAAGACTTCAACCCAGATCTTTTAGGCTACTCCGACTTACGCCAGCTGAGAATGTATTTACTTAAGAGCTTGGCAAAAGCCTGGTGTTTTTGATTTTGCTCTGATTTGGATCTGGGTCCAATTTTATCCAAGTCTCCAAAGTTGAAACTAGTAATCAGGGCTTCAGATCTGGCTCATCTCTAACTTTTTCCTTTTTCCTACTAAAATCCAATTAGACATCCAATTAGACATTGAGGCTCAGCCTCCTCCCAATGAAGTCAGTGTTACTTACATAGATGGCACCCTACTGCAAGGGCTAACATGACTCCTATCAAGACAGTGCACAGTGCTACACACATGACTACAATGATTTTGTTTTCAGAAACCTGCTGATCCATGAATGATGTCTAGATATTTTAGAATAATACCAATATCATCGTGTATCCTGCTGGCTTTCTCTCTTATTACTTTTGTTTCTCACCCACTCAGCTTCAAAAGCGACACTACCCTGGTTTGTCTGTTTCTTCCACAACTGCCTATGATGCTGTTCCTTTCCCCTGGAAGGCCCTTCAGGAGCTGATTTTCAAAGCTACTATATTCCCCTCTCTTAAATCCCTCCTGGAGACTCACTTCCTCCATTCTATCTATTGATATAATTTTTTAGCTCCATCATGCTGTATCATGGTGGCTTAGTAGCAATATCCTCTTAGTCATGTTGCCCCATCTTCCCTACCTCTCCACTACCCACTGTCTTTTACAACCTTTATTGTGTCATGTCTGATATTAGGCCGTAGTCCAGAAAAGCACTTACATGTATGTATGACTTTAAGCCCTTGAAATCAATGGCACTGCTCCTGTTCGTGTTTAAAGTTATGCATGTACTTAAGTGCTTTGCTGGACTGGAACATTACTTGTAGGCAGGGATCTTACCTTTCATCTGTACTAGGAGACACCAAGCACACTTTTCAATGCCACTAAAATAAATAATAATATGCCATGGAAAGTCCCCTGCAATAATTTAATATAATAGGATGTGGAGATGTTTAGAGTTTTGAGCCAAATTCTTAATGTTCTGGTTTTTGTCTAATCCAGATCCTTTACATTATTTAAGTGTTGCAATTTATTCCCAGCTCACTGAAAGATGCTTCCATATAACATAAACAGATGCATAAAAGCCTGCCAAAAATAATTCTTGTCACTTGACGTCATGAACTAATCTCCTTCCTGATATTGTTCAGTGGTGTATATCTCACGTTCAGACTGAAACCCAATAACTAATGCAAAAACTCAGACACTCGGGAGTTATTTTCTTTTTTATAAACCTTACCCCACATGGTGTGTTGCCTTCCCTCAATATATATGTTTGACTCCCCTTCCCACTAAGAGTTATGTGACTGTACCAACCAGATCACATATGATCCATCTGGCTCATGCTTGTCACATACATGATGATTTTTAAGCAATGCTGTGTTCACTGAGCTTCTCTTCACGTACAACAGTTACACCATGTTCCAGTGTGTCACTGTGCACATAGGTCTTAGCTACGATTCTCACAGACTTAAGAGGTGCATAGACTTTGTGCTGCCCCTCTGTACAGGGGAGAATGTCACCCTATGTAAATTCGGTAACAGGTCCCAGTTCTGCCTTGTGGAAGGTTACCTCAGAGGGAAAGGCTGACCCACTAACCAACCTTTTCTTTTCAATAGAACTGCGGGTGATGTTGGAGACCTTGGGCACCAGTGGATGGGCACACTTCCAGGATCAGCATCCTTGCACCAGAAGGAAACCGAGGATAATACAGTAGATTGATAAATATATTGGAAGCCTACCAATGAGGCCATGAGGGTTTCCAGCTGCTGCATTGCAGCTGCACTTTTCCAACATGATATTAGCACCGATTAAGGTTATTTGCCCAAACAGTGGTTGATATTTCAGTCATTCCACCCTGCAGCAATACGTTTGTTTGTTTCTTTATTTTTGACCACTACACTGCATATAAGGGTTGCCAAGTATCACACAGTTCATATGACACACATGCATGTAATAGCTCTGTCATGTCATCATGTAGCCCAGCTGGGGTAGGTCAAGCATTCAGTGGGGCTGCAGGAATGACTTGAAACTGCTGGCCACCTGGAACTACTTTGGGGACTGCTGGATCTGCATAGGGAAGGAGCAATCAGACAGCAGCCATAAAGGCAAGCAGAAGAGGAGGCAGCAGTGGTGATAGAGACAGTCGGTTAGGAGCCAAGTACTAGCTTTTGTCTCC